AATCTGTAATGCTGTAGACACATACTTAACTTTTCAAACATGAAAAAGGCCAGTGTTTTAACTTCTAGAATCACAATATTAGGTGGGGGGTTTGCAGCAACACGAGAACACCCCTCCTAAAGTGAAATGAAAAACAACATGGCACATTGAAGTAGTCAATGACTACTTCAGCTTCAACCGCAACAATACAAGAGCACACAACAGATACAACCTCAATGTAAACCACTTCAAACTTGATTGCAGAAAGTACGACTCCAGCAAGAGTGGTCAATGCCTGGAATGCACTACCTGACTCTGTAGTTACATCCTCTAACCCCCACTCCTTTAACCCCAAACTATCCACTATTGACCTCACCCCATTCCTAAGGGGTCTGTAAGGGGCATGCATAACTGCACCATCGTGCCTGTCTTATTTATTTATTTATTTATTTATTTGATTTGCCAATTGTTTACAAGATAATAAGTATAAGTGTATACATAGTTGTGAATACATGAAATGGGTACATATAAGAAAAATAAAAGAATAAGAGAAACAATAGGACAGGGACGGTAGGCACGTTGGTGCGCTTATGCACGCCCCCTACAGACCTCTTAGGAAAGAGGTGAGGTCAATTGTCCCCATTTAATCGTACCTGTTTTCTGTATTCTTACTCATGTTTACCTATTATTTTGTAAGCGATTGACAAATCAAATCAAATCAATAACATAAATAAATAAATTCAACCCCCTGAAATCTTTCCTAGAACCGTCTAGCTTTGCGATACTGATAAACACCGGGGCTGCTGTGTGTCTAAATGAAACGACAGCCCCGCGAGGGCCTCTTGGACTGTAGGGTGATATAAGCTAAAATGCTCCATCTCTTTCGGCTCCTCCGAGGAACTTCCCGTCTGCGCTCTACCGTCCCGATCCTGAAAACTAAGAGGGATCCATGAAAACAAAACGGAGCATGAGCCCGGTGGGGACGGAGGGGGAGGGGGTTCCCCCTTGGGAGTTTGTTCAGAGTTAACCTAGCCAGCTTTGAGAGTCCGCAGAGAGCCTACTTGAAAGCCGGGTACAAGCTGGACGGCCCTCCTCTTCTTCCCACTTAGGAGAGCAAAGATGTCCCGTGTTTTCTCCTCACCGGGACGGGAGGAGGGGGGGGGGATTGGGAAACGCCTCTCTCCTTCCTCAGGCAGCGATGGGGGCAGGCCTGTCAGCCTATCTCCTTCCCGCCTCGGCCCCAGAGCAAAGAGGAGAGGTTCTCTCCGCCGCCCCCTTTGTCTTTGTCTTGGGGGTCTCTCCTCGCCCCAAGATAGTTAATGCCCTCGCCTGGAAGGCTGGCTGGTCGTGAACCTTTTTACGTCCCGGTGGAAAATGCTCGGGGTGATCTTCCTCCTCACTTGCTCCCTGCTGGTAGTTTGCTCCTGCTTGGCCGAAAGGGAACTTGCAGCACTGACGCAGGAGCAACTGCCCTACTTCTTGAGTAAGTTGGACGGGCGGCTGAGCCATTGGTCGGACGGCTGCCTTGAAGGAGACTTCGCTTCTCTCTCTCTCTCTCTCTCTCTCTCATTCATTCATTCTTTCTTTCCCTTCCTGCTATTAACTGATAATAACTATTAATAACTATTAATTATTATTTAAGGGGCGTGCAAAAGTGCACCATCGTGCCTCCTGTCCCTGTCCTATTGTCCCCATTTAATAGTACCTATTTTCTGTATTCTTACTCATGTTTATACTTATACCTATTATTTTGTAAGCAATTGACAAATCAAATAAATAAATAAATAAACTGATTATATACAGCTCATTAGAATTTCCCTGCTGGGAGTAATGCTTTATATTGGTACAACTCTCATTCCAGGGAAGGGGGGGAAAAAGTTGGAACCAAATCCTAAAGATCATTAATTAGGAATAAAACCTATTAAGTCCAGAGGTTGGTCAGAGACCTTATCAGTCAGTTCTAGCTCTATGCTAGGCTTGGCAATCTAAAACTCTTTTAACCACCAGAGTGCATGATTGAGGGGCCAAATTTGACTAATTTGGCTTTAGTTTACAGTACTGGTAGTCCTCAACTTACAACAGTTCTCTTAGTGACCATTCAAAGTTACAACAGCACTGAAAAAAGTGACTTATGACCATTTTTCACACTTGTGACCATTGCAGCATTGCCCATGGTCACGTGCGTTCAGATGCTTGAGAACTGACTCACATTTAAGATGGTTGTAGCATTCCTGTGTCATGCGATCCCCTTTTGCAACCTAGTAAAGTTATTGGGGAAACCGGATTCACTTAACAACCGTGTTACTAATTTAACAACTGCAAAGATTCACTTTAGAAATGTGGTCATAAGTTGTGGATTTACCTGTATTTTTTTTTCAGCACTTGGTGTGCTGCACACAAGCAGCTCTTCACATTTGTGTTTCAATCCCAGAAAATGAGTTTCCAATTCCTAATTTTAATTCTTCTTTATGCTTGTAGCCATGTAGCCGGCATGTGCAGTTATCTGCACATGTGGCTGTGCATCCTAACATTTTCCAGGCAATTTCTGGTGTGATCATTTTGTTTGCATTAAGCTGCAGTGTGTCTAAAACACGCTTGTGTTTACTGTGCACTTAACTACTGATAAGGTATCATTGCTCCAGAAGCCATTACTAGTATAAACACTTTTAAAATCTTTTGCAGCTGTCTCTGAATCTGTTCTAAGCATTAGGCATTCTACTCCCAGTGTTGAGGTAGAAAGCCCTAAGCGCCTTAATTTCTGAATTTCTGACTGCCTATATAAGATTTGCTTCCCTCCTCCAGGGAATGATCCTTGCACCCGTTCATTTATGTCTGTTAAAATAGAAAAAAGCAAACCATGTAATGCTGCAGGCATGTATAGAATTGTTCAATTTCTATCGTATCAAAAGATGAAGTTGGGGAGTTCTTCCTCAGAGAAAGTGTTTTTTCTTCTTCTTAGCCGAAACAATATCTGGGGATTATTAAACTAGATGAAGTCCAGCCAGCTGATTCCCAATTCTTTTCTAGGTAATACAAAATTCCAATATGGAGGGGAGACAGGCATACTTTTTCTCCTTCTAGAGAAGGGAAGCTGCAGGCTGCCACTGTCTTCAGACAGGGAGAGTGATTAGACTATCTTGGGTTTCTGATTAGGTATAATTCACACATTTTGTTGAAATGATTTGAGACTACCCTGTTTCTCCAACAATACGGCCTCCCCCAATAGGAAGTCCCAGCATGTTTTATAGGCATGAAATGAAATTAAGCCCCTCCCCCAAATTAAGGCCTATATTAAAACATGCGAAATGGTGGGGAATGGTGGGGGGGCTTGCCGTTAGGAAGTACTTTTGTTGCACACCCGGATATGGTGCTGCCTGTGTTGACCCCGATACGAAGTGCCCCACCAACGCTGAGGTCAACATCCAAGCCGTCGCCACCCGCCCACCCAAAGATGCAAGGGGGGGGGGAATTAGGTCACCCCCGAAAAGACAGCCTAGCCATTTTTTCGGGGCTCAAAAAAAAAAAAAAAAGACCTGGCCTTATTATATGAGAAACACGGTATTTTCAGTACTCCCCCTGACAATGTGAGTACTTAAGAGAGAGAGGGGTTGAAGGTGGAGCATGTCTTCCTTCATACCTGAAATTTTTTGATACCTGAAGAAACTTAACCTAAAGTAAGACTGAATATAACTTGTCCAGCTGAAAGCTAAGTATGGATGGCTGTGAAAAGCCATGGTGTGCAAAACACTTATTTAGGGGTAGACAGTGTGCCTGTGGACATGTCGATACTGTTATTTTTAATTGGAAACTGCAGACTGCAAAGCAAGGTATTAGCTTCTCTGTTTACAAGAGTGCCTGTGAGATTTGCATAGACTTAGAAAATAAAATAGGAAGAGACTAAAACCCAGTACAGGTAGTTCTCAACTTATGAGAACAATTGAGCCAAGCAAAACAGTTAAGTGAATTTTGCCCCATTTTATGCACTTCTTTGGTGGAGTTGTTAAGTGAATCACTGCAGTTGTTAAGTTAGTAACTCAGTTAATTGAATCTGGCTTCCCCATTGACTTTGCTTGCCAGAAGGTTGCAAAGGGGGATCACATGACCCAGGGACAATGCAACTGTCACAAATACATGCCAGTAGCCAAGTGTCCAAATTTTGATCAGGTTACTGTAGGGATGCTGGAATGTGAAAATAGTCATGAGTCACTTTTTTCAGTGCCATTGTAACTTCAAATAGTCACTAAATGAACTGTTGTAAATAGAAGACTGCCTGTATTTTATGAAAATTTCCAGAAAAAAGTATGATTTAACTAGGTGGTAGCAGGTTCTAATTTGAGGCTTAGAATAATGATAATAAACGATCTCATCAATTTTTCTACAAGTAAATTAGTGCTTCATGAATAGTTATAGCAGTCTTTTTGTTTTATTCTATACCACTGGTGGCTAACCTTTTTGGGCTCCTGTGTCAAAAATTGTGCGTGTGCTTGCATGCTCGCGTGCCAGCACCCAGAAAGCAGTGCGTGCACCCCCTACGCATGCGTGTGCAATCCCCCCCGCTGCCCACTTACCTGCACTGCGCTTTACAGGTGATTTTCAGCCAGTTTGAAGCCTTTTTCAGCCTAGTTTTCAGCCTGAAAAGCCTGCAGAAGCCTTCCTGAAGCCTCTGGAAGGCCAAAAAAGGCCTCAGACCAGCAAAAAATCAGCTGTGAGGCACACACATGCGCAGTGAGGTAAGTTTGCCTGTAAATCACGTGCCAGCACAAATGGTTCTACGTGCCACCTGTGGCATACGTGCCATAAGTTCGCCATCACGGTTCTATACAGTTCGTTGTATGCTTGAGTTCAAAGTTTGCAATAAAATTGGAACTAAGATTAGACTTAATATTTTTCCAGTTATCCCTGGAGCAGCTGGTTCTCTGAAGAGCCCAGAGTGCAGTCCTGTCAAAGTTAGCTTTGCTTTGCCATGCACCCCCAGTCCCTTATC